TGTCCCTTTGTAGTCAAATCTCACCCCTGCTTTCATTCTCTGATACCTGCTGGCTCCGTCTCTCTCTAGTTTGCCTTTTCCAGAATATCATACAGATGGAATCATACAGCGTACAGTCCTTTGCATCTGGCTTCTTTCATGTAGCATATTTTTGAGAGCCGTTTTTTTTTTGTTTGTTTGTTTTTGTTTTTGTTTTTGTTTTTGTTTTTGAGACAGAGTTTCGCTCTTGTTACCCAGGCTGGAGTGCAATGGCGCGATCTCGGCTCACCGCAACCTCCGCCTCCTGGGTTCAGGCAATTCTCCTGCCTCAGCCTCCTGTGTAGCTGGGATTACAGGCACGTGCCACCATGCCCAGCTAATTTTTTGTATTTTTAGTAGAGACGGGGTTTCACCATGTTCACCAGGATGGTCTTGATCTCTCGACCTCGTGATCCACCCGCCTCGGCCTCCCAAAGTGCTGGGATTACAGGCTTGAGCCACTGTGCCCGGCCTGAGAGCCATTTTTTGTGTGTGTCTATCAGTGGTTATGTTCCTTTTTATTTTGGAGTAGTGACTGAGTGGAGGTGCCACATTTTTAACTGTTCACCAGCTGAAGTGCATTTGAGTTGTTTGTAGTTTATGTGAATAAAGCTGCTGTACATTTGTGTACAGTTCATTGTGTGGACATGTTTTTATTTCTCGTGCGGAAATGCCCAGAAGTGTGAGTGCTGGGACCTATGTTAGGTGTTTTTCACTTTATGAGAAATTGCCAAACCATTCTCAACATTGGCTTTCCAGGTTGTGTCATATCCCAACAGCAATGTAGGGGGGCTGAGGACGTGGTTTACATTTCTGTGTTTTGGTGGCATACATACATGTATCATGGAGACAACGTAATAGAATGCCATGTATTGCCCTGTGGGCTACATGGCATAGTTTTAGGTGGTACATAAAGTAACTTTTTTTCTTTTTTTTCAGGCAGAATCTTGCTCTGTTGCCCAGGTGGAGTCCACTGCAATCTCACTGCAATCTTGGCTCACTGCAATCTCTGCCTCCTGGGTTTAGGCAATTCTCGTGCCTTAGCCTCCCAAGTGGTTGGGAATACAGGCATGTGCCACTACACCCAGCTAATTTTTATATTTTTAGTAGAGATGGGGTTTTACCATAGTGGACAGGCTGGTTTAGAACTCCTGACCTCAAGTGATCCACCTGCCTCAGCCTCTCAAAGCGCTGGGATTACAGGCATGAGCCACGCCACCTGGCCTGAAGGAACCTTTTTTTCCTGTAGTTTATAGGTTATGAGTGTTCTTTAATTTGCATTTAAAAAATTTATCCAGCATACCAAATCCATGAATTCTTGGCTATTAATGCCTTTTTATTTTTTTGAGACAGACTCTCACCCTCACCCAGCCTGGAATGCAGATCATGGCTCACTGCAGCCTTCAACCCTGGGCTCAAGGATCCTCCCGCCTCAGCCTCCTGAGTAGCTGGGACTGCTGGGACTCAGTATAGGCACGCATCACCACATTCAGCTAATTTGCAAATTTTTTCTGGAGATGAGGTTTTGCTTTGTTGCCCAGGTTGGTTTCCAAGTCCTAGGTCTCAAGTGATCCTCCTGCCTTGACCTCTCAAAGTGCTAGGATTACAGGTGTGACCCGCCTCACCTGGCCTGTTAATGGCCAGTAACAAAGGCCCTGCAGTCAGATTGCTGGTTTGGCTCCTAGGTCCCTTTCTTACTGGTTGTGTGATCCTGGGCAAGCCACTTAATCTCCCTGAGGCACAGATTTGTCATCTGTAAATGGGTTGATAATGTCTCTCCCTGTTTTGTAAGTTTGTTGTAAGGGTGAAACAGTAAGTGTGTGTAAAACTCATAGTTCAGAGCTTGGCAAATGACTACCACTATTATTTGACGCATATGACCCATGCGTGATAGGCATGTGTGTGTATGTATTGTTTCGCACATCCATGTGTACATGAATATGTGTGTGTGTCACAGTCGTGTACATGTGCAGTTCCTGGTCTCAGGGATACGGGAGAGGATGAATGGCCTAGGGTTGGGATTACCTTCGCTTGCTCACAGGTGTACCTGTGTGCCCAAGAGTGTGTCTTTTGGAGGCCATGTGCCTGGGTTCACATGGTGCCCCTGGACCAGAATCCTCCTGACCCCACCTTTTCCATCTGTTCTGCTGCCAGCCAGGGTGCTGGGCCCATGCTGCCCCAGCCCCACCCTCCACCCCCTACCCACGCTGAGATTGACAGGGGTCCTCTCTGGAAGGGAGGCCTTGGGGATTGTCCTTCCAGGGTCTGGGTCTCTGGCCCCTTGTGTCTCCACTGTATTTGCCCGGAGTCTGTGTTTTCTGGACCTTTACTCAGGGCCCCAGACCTCTGGTAGGATGGGTGGGAAAGAGAGGGAGCATTTTGAAGGGATTGCGGCCCTGCAGTTGCTCCATGGATTCTGAGTGGAGGCTGGGGAGGGGGAACCCGGAAGGAAAGGCTCTCAGCAGCAGCTGGGCTCAGCAGGTTTTTAAAAACTGCTTCATGGAGGTGTCATTGACATACACGAAACTGCACGTGTTTAAAGTGTCCAATTTGTTGAGTTTTAACATATGTGCACACCCCTGAAATCATTACATCAAGATAAGGAACACATAGGCCATTGAAACCATCTACTAAAAATAAAAAGATAAGGAACACAGCCACACCGCCAAATGTCCCCTTGTGCTCCTTGATAATCCTGCCTCTCTACCCCACCATCAGAGACATCCACTTATCTGCTTTTTGTTTGTTTGCTGTTGTTGTTTGTTGCCGCTGCTGTTGTTGTTTGTTATTGTTGTTGTTGTTGTTGTTGTTGTTTCTTGCTCTGTTGCCCAGGCTGGAGTGCAGTGACATGATCTTGGCTCACTGCCTGGCCCACTTATCTGCTTTTGATTACTACAGCTCTCATTTGCACTTTCTAGAATTTGATAAAAATGGAAGGAGGGGAAGCATTTTGAAGGGAAAGGAGGCCCTGCAGTTGCTCCATGGATCGTGTACTGCTTTTTTTTTTTCCTTTTTCCTTGAGATGAAGTCTTGCTCTTGTTCCCCAGGCTGGAGTGCAATGGTGCAATCTCGGCTCACTGCAACCTCCGTCTCCTGGGTTCAAGCCATTCCCTTGCCTCAGCCTCCCAAGGAGCTGGGATTATAAGCGCTTGCCAACAGACCCGGCTAATTTTTGCATTTTTAGTAGAGGCGCGGTTTCTCCATGTTGGCCAGACTGGTCTCGAACTCCTGACCTCAGGTGATCTGCCCGCCTCAGCCTCCCAAAGTGCTGGGATTATCGGTTTGAGCCACCATGCTCGGCCTGCTTTGTTTGTAACGTGCTAATTTCACTCACATCATTACTGTGAAATTCACCTATGCTGTTACTCACTTCAGTAGTTCATTGCTCTTTACTGCTGAGTACTATTCCATTGTGTAGATGCACCACGGTGTGTTAGCCACCCACACAGCAGGGGTTATTTTCTCTTATGCTTCCATTTCTACCTGTGGATGCGAACCTCAACAACGTGTGATGTTGCCTTTCACCAGTACATATTCTATGAAACCAAGAGTCAAGCTGCATCTGAGGCTGGCCTGAGCGTAGTGGGCATCTTTTCTAGGCAGGGTACCTGTAGCCAGTGCCACTCTCTGCCCTTCGCCCCAACTGTCCCCTTCCCTGAAATGGCCTACCCTCTGCATTATCCAGAGGCCATTCAGCTTCTTCCAGGCAGCCTTTCCTGACTGTCTGGGTCTCTTATGAGCATTTCCAGCCCTCACAGCCTGACGGCTCCAAAGCCCTCGCACTGTTCAGTTGTTCCCGTCTTGTCTCCTTGGTGAGGACAAGGTGAACTCCTCCTTGTGCCATCCGCTCCTAGTGAGCCTGGCAGGCAGGAATCTGCTCCAGAGAGGCCCGCAGGCTGATGCACAGGGTGTCTGGCTGGCCCGGGGCTGTGGAGACTGCTGTCTGGGGCCCCCGGGGACGTGAGGAGCCGAGATGCAAAGTGGTGCAGAGGGATGCAGACCAAAGCCAACACCACCGGGTGGAGGGCTGGGCCTCGCCCTCTCCCTTCTCTCTGTCTTCCATCTCCTTCCTGGAAACCCCTCCTCCACCTCTCCTCCTCCTCCTCCTCCTCCTCCTCCTCCTCCTCCTCTAGGGAGGCCCAATGCCGAGCTCTTTGCATCATTAAACTCCTGCCTTGGAGGACCAAAATTTGAAACATCCCAGAAGGCCTCTGTCACATTTTGTGGCTTTCTACGGCTCCACCCCCTTCTCCTCCATTCTTCAAGGTTCTCTTTCCCCATGATGACGGGATGGACGGGCTCTACTTCCTGAAGGACAGGGCATGGATCTAGGGGGCTCCACCTGAGCCCCTAGACCCTGAGGCTGTGTTTTAATTAATGCTGCCTGTGCTGCTGAGACTTGTCTTGGAGCCACAGAGTAGAGGCCACCCATTGTGCCAGAGACGGAAGCGTTGTCTTCCCCAAGGTTACAGAGCCAGTTAGTGACAGCCCTGACGACAGGATCCATGCATGTTTCATGTCTGTGTCTCCAGTGCTCAGGACCGAGCTTGGCATTCAGCAGATATGTCATAAATATTTATTGAGTAAAATAAATGAACAAACCAAGGATAGTGGAGTGCTAGTGAGCGGTGGTGAAGGGCAGTGGTAAAGGTGCTGTGCTACCATGGCAGGTGGTGAAAGGCAGAGGGTGGTGGTAATACCAGTGGGGAGAGGAGGTGGAAGAGGGTGGAGGTGGGAGGTGATGGGGAAGGTAGAGGAGAGAGGTGGTGGATAGTGAACCAGCAGAGCATGGTAGGGATGGTGGAGCGGGAGATGGTGAGAGACGGTGGCAGAAGGATGGTGGCAAGGGGTGGCGGCAGTGGTGGAAGTACTGGGCTCCGGGTGACTTCTGTTTATGCCCAGCCTCTGCCCTTCCCTAGGGGACCCTGGTCTGGCTCTTGGACCCGTCAAGTTCTCTGACACCGTGGCCTGTTCCTTTGCAGACTCCATCGGAGGCCCCTTCCCCGTCACCTCTCACCGATGCCACCACAAGCAGAAGCACTGCCCACCGGTGCTGCCAGGTGGGGGGCTCCCAGCCACGCCGCTGCTCTTCCACCCACACACCAAGGGCTCCCAGATTGTTATGGACCTCAGCCACAAGGCCGTCAAGAGGCAGGCCAGCTTCTGCAACGCCATCACCTTCAGCAACCGCCCGGTCCTCATCTACGAGCAAGTCAGGCTGAAGGTGGGCCTGCCTCCCCACTCTGCCCCCGTCCCTGCCCCCCACACCCACCCCCTCGCTTCTCTCACTGCATCTCCCGGGCCTCTGGACTCTGTCCCTCAGCCACTGCCTGCTGCCACCCTCACCGCCACACCCTGCCCTCGCCTTTCCTCTCTGTTGCCCCTCTTCCTTCTTTCTTATGCCTTTCTCAACCTCCCTGTGTGATAAGGAAGGAACCAGGAGGGCGGTGGCCACGGGAACCCCTTGCTGTCTTCCCAGCAGGGAGGGCTCCGGGGAGGGAATGGTGCTGGAATGCTGGGCAGGCTGCCCTGGGGCACTCCAAGGAGCCCACCCAAGGGGGGTTGCCCTTGGTCTGACTGACCAAGTGGGAGAGGGTAGGCTGAGGCCACTCCCTGCCACCCAGATCACCAAGAAGCAGTGCTGCTGGAGCGGGGCGCTGCGGCTGGGCTTCACCAGCAAGGACCCGTCCCGCATCCACCCTGACTCGCTGCCCAAGTACGCCTGCCCCGACCTGGTATCCCAGAGCGGCTTCTGGGCCAAGGCACTACCCGAGGAGTTTGCCGATGAGGGCAACATCATCGCGTTCTGGGTGGACAAGAAGGGCCGCGTCTTTCACCGCATCAACGACTCAGCTGTCATGCTGTTCTTCAGCGGGGTCCGCACGGGCGACCCGCTCTGGGCCTTGGTAGACGTCTACGGCCTCACGCGGGGCGTCCAGCTGCTTGGTGAGTGCCTGCCCCAATGGCCCCTTGGTGCAGGGGACACCCCTCAGCCTCTGGGCACTGCAGCCTGACACTGTTCAACCCCATCAGGCGTAGGGAGCCCTCCCTGATGGTGCTAAGGGGAACAGGGGTAACCCTGGGAGCCTTGGTGTGAACTGCAGAGAGCGCCTTTCCTCCAGGCCCGAGGCTTTGCAGGGGAACCTGGGTGTGTTTTCTGCTCTGTGTAGCGTCTCAGGTGGTGCTTTGGGCAGTGTGCACCCTTCACAGTCATAAGTGGCGGTCTCAAAGACCATCACCCCAGCAGTAATTAAATAAATCGTTACAACACCACAGTTCACAGAGCACTTACTATGTGCAAGGCACTTCATTCTTGCCTGTTCTTATAGCAACCCTGGAAGGGAGAGCCCTCGATTGGGTAGAAACTCATGTCCGAGGAGGTTGCATCATGGTTTCAGGTGCCCCGGCCCCAGAGGGGTAGAGCCAGCCCTGAGTCTCCAGCTCCAAAGCCAGCTCTCAGCCCCTGGGCTCTGCAGCCTCCCAGGAGGCTGGGTTCCAAGCCCACCTAGTGCTTTTTTCCAGGGATGTTGGATGAAAGGGCGGGATTTGGGGGCAGAACGCACTGGGGGAGCTAAGACTCTTGGCTGCTCCCGGGTCCCCAGTGTAAGTTAGGCTCTTTCAGGACAGTGAGAGAGCGAGGAGGAGGAGCCTCAGGAGGCAGCCTGGCATGCTCAGGAGCCAGCTTCCCTGCTACGGCACGCATGCCGAGGCTGGAAGCGGACGGGAGAATCTCCGACTTCCTAGGGTTCACGCAGTGAGTTGGTGGTTAAGGTGGGATTAGAACTCAGATTACCTGACTCCCAGACCAGGCTCCTTCCCACCTGGCTCTCATTGTGCATGGGCGCTCAGGTGCACATGGGCACACGTGACTCTGGTTACAAATCAGGCCATCGGCAAACTGGTTTTGTCTCCAGGTGAAGGCTGCGCAAGCCTCAGCTTCCTCGTCTGTGAAGTGGGTTGGTGGGAAGATTAAATTCCATCATGGAGGCTGTGAGTAAAGTGCCCAGCACAGTCCCTGGTACCAAGTATATGCTCAAGCGACACTTACTCCTTCCATCTCCCATCTCTACCCGCCTCTCCCTCCAGAGAAACAGGCCATAAAGGCGGTTGAAAAACTTTTTTTTTTCCTTTCTGACTTCAGAGTGTAGAAACAGTGAAGCTCTTCTTTCCACAACACCTTTATTTGAGCAAAAAGTCAGTGATGGTAAAAACAAAGAAATGAGTCAGAAGCCTTTCTGTTTGTTGTGTTCCGAACATCAGGAAGCTGTTTTTATTAGCTGGTAGTTTGGGAACTTTCTGTTTTTTGACTCAATAAAAGTGTTTCTACTTTCACAATGACAAGTTAAGAGCCTGGAACTGGGCTGTTCTGGGCCTCAGCAACTTCGGAAGGGAGCCCAGGTGCTTTGCGTTTTCTCTGTGAAATGGGTGTACCTGCAGCTGGGGGCAGAAAGGGCTGCGCTCTTGACCCCGGGCTACAGAGACTGGTAGAGCCTAGCCTTGTGCTGTACTAGGTAGGGGTGGGACCTCAGTTTCTTCTTCTGTAAAGTGGGTCTAAATGCTTTCTCAGGGTTCTTTGGAGGCTCAAAAGCTGACTTGAGGAGCAGCTGATGCACAGTAGGGAGTCAGTGGCTGTCATTCATTCCCACCCATGCTAGGGAGGGCAGTTCTTAACTCAGGCTAGAGCGAATGCCTCGGTGTTGCTCTCGTGTCCTCAGGGCCCCACACTTCAAGGCACGGGAGTCCCAGACCTTGAGTTTAAGCTCTAACCTGACCACTTCTGCCTGAGCCTCAATCTTCCCATCTGTATAATGGTTGTGAAGGCTCTGACAGCCCAGGACTCAACCACATGGTGGAAGACAAAGAATGTCTCTGCTCCTGAGGAAGCCACAGACTTGTTGAGCGGTGGGCAGGTGAAGGCAGTGGGGCAACATTCTTGCTTTTCCCTAAGCAAAAAGTGCCCTTCCTTACAGTCCCCACTCTGGCTTCAAGGCCAGCCCCCAAACCCCCTCCTCCTTGAAGCCCTCCTGCTTGAAATTCTCGTCTCCATCCTTGTGTGCCACTAAGTGGTGCTGGCGCTTCTCTCAGCTCTGAGCATTGGCAGAGCCTTGGTCCTCTTCCCTGAAACACTGGGAGGAATCCATGTCTCACCCAGTTGGGCAGCTCTCCAGGGTGGAGGCTTCTGCCTGACCTGCAGAGGATGCGGCGGTGGGTAGGGGAGAGTAGTGGGGTGGGGATGAGTGGGTGGATGGATGCCTTGTTAGATGAAGGAAAGGGGGGGTGGGTAGGTGGGGGCCGAGGGAGACCCAGCCCTGCCCACAGACAGTCCAGGCTCAGGGGGAAGTTAGGGGGATGAAGCAAACACTCCAGACGATGCCAGCGCTCCAACCCAAGAGTAGCCAGTAAATTGCTAACCGCTGTGGTCATGGGAGCCCTTCCATCTGCCGAGATGGTTTCTATCCAGTTATCTCATTTAACGCCTCCAAAGCAGGCCCCACAGGGAGTGTTTTTTATCTCCATCTGGCAGGGAGATAACTGAGGCCCATGCAAGGCCTGGCTTGCCCATGTAGGGATGTGGCAGAGCCGGGACTTGAACTCGGTGTTCTGATGCCAAAAGCAATGCCTTTCCCATTACCCTCCAGCTGGTTTAAACATAAAAGGAGGCAGGAAGTCAGAGGAGGCTAAGGTCAGTGGGGGAGGATGGAGGCCAGGAGGGCTTCTTGGAAGAGAAGGCTTGGGCTGGGCCTGCAAGTTCCAGGAGGGTCCTGGCACATGGGAATGAAGTGGAACATGCCAGGTGGCATGGGGCTTCCCGCCCTCAGGGGCTGAGGAGGGCGTGGAGAAAAATCTGAAAGGCCCACCCTGGGCCAGAGCCCAGGTGGCCTGACCTGATCCAGCCCCATCCCCCGTGACTATAAATGGGTTTGCATGCAGTGTTTTCAGTTGCATTTGGAGGTCCCGACAGGCTCCTCTCTGCATACCCGATAAGGCTGAGGCCCAGTTGATTCTGTCCCAGCCGTAAATCACCATAATCCCTGGGTATTTTCCAACACTGATTATGGCCCCTAAATTCGATTGGCAGATTAAGATATCCCTTCATTTTATTCTTCCTGATTTTTTTTTTTTCCGGTAAAGAGAGACACACACAGAGATTCATCCAGAGATCTCCTGAGGTGGGCATGATCTCTCCACCTTTGTTCGCGCCTGTCCTCTGAGATACTCCCCTCTACCCCAGGCAGCCTCAGGGTCAGCCTCCTTCCCTGCCTTCTCTTCCTCTCCACCCCACTTCCCGCCCCTCCCTCTCTCCATCGCCTGCCCCTTCGATGCATCTGTGTCTTTCTGGGCTGTTCTGGCTCCCTCCACCCAGATCCTCTCGCACTTCTTGCTTTCCCTGGTCTTGGTGTTTCTCTCCTCTGAAGAAGGTAGCTGTTGTCTTGGTGGCTCTGAGGCTGGGTCAGTCTTTCCTGGGGTGATTGTCCCCCAAACCAATGTCTGATCTTTGGGGATTTTCTGCCAGGCCTGTCCCTGTCCGCTCTGGAACCTGTGGTCAAAGCCCTCCCAACTGCAACTGCTCTGTGTTTGTTCCTTAGACCAGAGGCTTCCCAGGGTAGCTGGCACAGAGTAGGTATGAAAGGCCATGGGTGGATGAGTTGTGTCCCCAGACAGAGTAGAGGCACATGGTGGAATCTCCTCCCTGCCCTGACCAGAATCCAAGCCCACAATGGTGCCCATGCCACAGCCCCAGCAGGCCCTCCCCTCCGTTACGCTGTAGTTCAGCAGATCACCTCTCTCTTTGGGGCACCCTGGCCTAAGCCCAGGCTAGTATCTCCAAGAATAACAGCTTCCAACCTCCAGGGAGAAGGACTCGCCAGCAACTAAATAAACACAGGTTTTTATGGGGTGATTAATACATGGAGAAAGAAGCTGCTATCCCTGTGTCTCAAGGTCTCCTTGATCTTCTCAGAAACGTCAATTCAGGAAGAGTGCTGTGAGTCCCGGCAAGAGGCTGCTAGGCCAAGAGCCCACTTACAGGGTGCTCCAGAGCATCCCTCAATGCCCACCACAGCCTAGGCACTATGTGGGGGACAGGTGGGAGACAGAAGAATCGAAAACCCAGCCGCTCTCCTGGAATAGCGTTTTCCCTGGGGATCGGATAACTGATGCAAGGTGGTCCAAGTTCAGTTCTGCAATTAGGTATGAGCTGAAGAGTAAAACTGTGTATATATGTGGGAGGGGAGTGCAGCTGGAAAGTAATCCAGGAGGACTCCCTGTGGGAGACAAGTTTTAAGGAACCAGGCAAGGTGAAAAGAATGGATTGGTTGAGGAACAATTTAGCTCAGACGGAGGGGTGTCCACAGGCACAGAGGTGGGGAATTGGCAGTCAGTAGGGGAGCAGATCCAGGAGGGGAAGGAATGAAATGGAAAGGTAGTGGGTGACTTGTGGAGGTGAGGGGTGTGTACAGGTGTGAGTATATGGATGCATCACAGGGGAGACAGCCCTGAGAGTCCAAAGCTTCCAGCAGCTTCTGTGCTATCAGGATGTTCAGTAAGAGGGACTGGCTGGTTGACAGCGAAGTACGAGACCCAGAGATGGGGAGGGGCCTGCCCAAACTCTCCCAGCTGCTCATCAGCCAGGCCAGGCCTGGAACCCAGATCTCTCAGGCTGAGAGGTCGGAGGGAGGAGGTTATCAACACATCTAAATGGTGGGGCTGAGCCCTGGAGGGTTCTAGGAGGGGATGAGGTGGGGGCTCCTGAGGGCTTATGGCATTCTGTTCCATCCCTCACCATGCACAGCTTCCCAGGTCTTGGTAAAAGCCCCACACCTGCCTACTGAGGAGAGACTCTCAGGGTGGGCTTCTGAGGGTCACGGGCTGCTGGGTGGGTTATAGGGCCTGGGTCAAGTCCCGTATCTACGGTGTGCCTCAGCTAGGCGGCACTGAGAATAAGT